TCATGAAAGTGGTACTCTGGTGTGGTGTGAAGCTGTCCACCAGGGGCTCTGGGGCCTCCAGGGAAATGCAGAGGTCACCCAGGATGAACTACACTGCAATCTTCTGATGGCTGCTACTTGTACTGGGCTTGGAGGTTCCCAGGAGAAGGCAAGCTGTGAACCAAGACTGTCTGCCACTAATGCCAGGCCTGGGGCCTCTTAGCAAGAGATATGGGAAGCACTGAGGCCAGATGTTGCTTGTTTAGGTTTTGTGGACCTTTGAGAGATTTTTGGAAAGGTAATTTATACTGAAAATCCACTGGAAATGGCTTTAGTGGGCCCACAAGTTGGGTGGCAGGAGGTCTTGGAATCACCAGGGTGGGGTGAACAGTGTTAGCCAGGTTCATGGAGACTCAGATACAGTGCTCGTCTGCCAGCTCTAGGAGGGGAAGGCTCAGCAAGGAACTATAGCCTTTCCCGGCACCTCTGCCTGGGAGAAATCTGCCCTGCAGCTCTTGCCCTGTTGCCAGACAATTCAGTTCTCCCTGTTTGTTCCTGGCACCTTTTGAGCTGCTGCCCTAGCAGTGAACTCGGAGTGAGTCTGAGTGTGTCTGTGCACAGGCCTTGGAAAAGGAATACCTGAGACTCCAAAAGCCCTGACTCACTCAGTCAAAATCCCTGCTGATTTTCACAGCCAGAAGTTATGGGGACTTCTCTTCCCAGCACTGGAACCCTGGGCTGGCCCCTCATGCCTCAGTGGGTACTTCTGTGGCTGAGCTATTCCTCCCAATTTGTAACCACTGCATGTGGGTGTTGGTCCAGCCCATCATGTGTCTCTGCCCTTTCTACAAGTCTCAATGTGACAACTTCTTTATATCCTTAGTTATAGGACTTCTATTCAGCTAGACTTCAGGTGCTTCTGAATGATGGTTGTTCTGTAGTTTAGTTGTAAGTCTGATGTGGTTGCGGGAGGATGCCACCACCACACTTATCTACTCTACCATCTTGACTGAGAGCTCCTGTTTTAAATGTTTTAACTGGAGTTGTAAATGCATTATGTAAGGGCACCATTGCCAGTTACAGATTCTAATTTTGACTATGTATTTACTATTATCAGGGAATTTTACACTACTTTGTTTTTATGGTATTATTTAGCATCTTTTTACTTCCACTCAAAAGAATTCCCTTTAGCATTTCTCACAAGTCAGGTCTAGTGGTGATGAACTCCCTCAGCTTTTCTTTGTTCAAGAAAGTCTACCTTTATTTCTTAACCAAGAATTCTATAGCCAGCAAAGCTGCTCTTGAGGGTTTTTTTCTTTCTTTCAATATTTTGAAAGAAAAAAGCCCATTCCATCTGGGCCTGAAATATTTCCAGACTTTATTCTTTTTTCTCTCTTTTTGCTCCTCTGACTGGTAATTTCAAATGTCCTCTCTTTTAAGTGAGATTGTTTCTTCTGCATTATCAAGTCGCTTTTGAAGCTCTCTTTAACTTTTTGCTTCATTGTATTTTTCAGCTCTAGAAATTTTTTTCTTTATTGATAGTTTCTACTTATTACTTAGTTGAACTTGTTTTGTTCATACATTTTCCTAATTCATTTAGTTGTCTGTGTTTTTGTAGTTCACTAAGCATTTAAGAGTATTATTCTAAATTTTTGTCTGACAGTTCATAGATTTCCATTTCTTTTGGGTTAATTGAAGCTTTATTAGTTTCCTCTGGTACTACCATATTACCTGATTTTTCATGATTCTTCATTCCTTACTTTGGTATTTGTGCATCTGAGTAACTTCCTCTTCCAGGATTCATAAATTTTCTTTGACACAGATGGTTCTTCACCTGTAAGCTCAGTTGGGTATTTCCAGATGTGTCTACTAGTAACATCCTTAGGGTGGTAGGGTTTAGGGTCTATTTATGAAGTGAGCTGACTCTGAGCTCTAAGCTAGGGGTACAGAGGAGGGGGTGATGCCATTGTCCTAAAACTCTTGGATAACACTACTGACTTAGTTCTTTGCCCAAGTGAGGTGGTAGGATGGGTTCTACAAGTTGTCTGGGTTCTCTGGTCAGGTGTACTAGGTGTTTGGAATAAGATACCATATTCAGCAGTAGATGGGGCTAAAAATTAGCTTCCCTGCCCTGGTGAGCAGTAGGATGGGGCCCAAGACATGCGCAGCTTGTTGACTGAGGGCTTGAATCAGGTAAGGGTGTACATTAAATTCCCTGGCCAGACAAGGCCACCAGTTTTGCTATGCTGTCTGTTCAAGCTCTACTGTAAGGAGGGCTGTTGGATAGGTTTCACAGTTTCCCATACGCTCTGCTTAAGTTCCCTGGATGGGCAGGCTGAAAGCAGTATTCAGCAATGAATAGAGTTACAAACTAGTTTCCCCATCCAGACAGTGAGAGAACCAGCTCCAAAACTGGTAAGGCTCTTTATGGTCTGGACTCAAGTTCCCTCACTAAACAGGGCCCCTGGCTTTGGTCTGCAGACTGTAAGCTTTTGTCTGCTGAACTCTGCTCAAATGTTGATGGGCTACTTAGCTTTCCAGGTGTCCAGCCAGGCTTTCTGGTTGGACAGGCATGGGGGCTTCACTCCATGGTGTGTGGGGATATTCTCAGCTCCCCTGAGGGAAGGGCCAGCTTCAAGCAGCCTCCCAGGTTTTCCCAATCAGACTTTCTTGCGGAAAGTGGTTGAGAACTACACAGGCTTTCTGGTGGGAAGTGGGCCAGGCTATGAATTAGCTCCCCTGCCTGGGAGAAAGGGAGTAACTCTCCATACCCAGCACTGGCTTTGTTCTGTGCACAATCAGTTGCACATTTTATATTCTCTGAGCATTGCCAGGCTACACAGTTTCCAGGTACTCTTGTCTGCTCTTCCGTTTAGATGGAACCAGGAGCTATATTTAGCAGTGGCTGGACTATGACTCTGCTTCCCTGCCTGGATGGGAGCAGACCAGCCTCCAGGTTGGTAAGGCTATTCATTTGGGGATCCAATTTAGGCATACCTGCACCCTGCCCTGTTCCCTGGTCAGACTGTACCACTAACCTGGTTTTGAAGATACGTAAAGCCACTGGTTTGGATTACTACTTGGGTGCTGCAGGTAGGAGCTTGGTATACCAAGATCTGGGTGCTACAAGCCACTTCTCTGTCACAGATTCCCAGTGGTTAAGCTCTGCAGATTTCTCTGCAATCTCTGTGAAGCAAGACTGAAATGGGGGCTCCTAAATGACCCACAACACTGGGGGAGCTGGATGTCTACCCTGGGCTCTTCCCATTGAAGGAAACTGTAGGCCCAGGTTGTATTTCTTGGCATAGCGCTATGCTAGCCTGGGGGAGGGGCAACATGGTCAACATATTGCCCCTCTTCTTACCCTTGTAATTCGGTTTTGTCTGGGTCTCTGGTGCAGCAAGGTGCTTCAGCCTCACCCCCATGTTCTCAGATTCTCTCAGTAGTATCTTGTAACTGAATAGTTATGAGCTCTTCTTGTGAGGGGGACAAAGTCAGGAACGACTTATGTCACCAGGATGGTGACATCACTCTCTCTAAAATTTCTTAAGATATGCAGGGTGAGTCAGAAGTCGTATTACAGCAGTGGTTGTCAAAGTGTGGTTCCTGAAGCAGCCTCAAATATTTTAAAGGTATGAGGTCAGTACCTTGCTTGAAGACTAGTTTAACAATTAGAACATTTCTGGCTTTAATCCTAAAAACGACTCTCAAAGGTAAACTTATCTTATGGTTTCTCAAATTTGGGAGCAAATATCACAAATATATTCTCATATTAGCAGCAAAGCCCAAACAGCACTTTCAAAAACAAAAAAATAAGAATAGTTTTCTTTAAACATAATATTGTAAAATTAAAATCACACTAGAGCAGTCCTTATGCTATCACATGAATTCAGTTGAGTTCGACAGGCATTTACAAGATTAATCATAACCCATAACTTCCTAAAGTAAATACTTAGGATGTTTTGGAAGAGAATGGTTTAGATTAAGTCACACAATGTTGGACCTCTATCTCTGAAATTCAGTTGTTGTGATGACAGCAGATAAACAGCTTAATATGTTTAGTTACCTAACCTATTCTAATGCCTAAATACTAACAAATGTATTTATTATATAAATATTCCTCTCTTCTTTAAATTTTTGATAATTTATAAGATTTCCTTCATCTGTGAATTTTAAAAATCTCCATTTCAGCCTTGTCAATTTTCTTTCCAAAATTTTTCTCCTCTAGTTAATTCAGCAAAAAAAGTATAAATTTTACAGGGCCCTTCCTGGGCCCTCAGCTGGTGTTCTTCTAGTCTACTGACAATATTATTGTCTTTTGGCAAATAAAACCCCCCCAATCAATTTTTCATTATCTTTTACAAGTACCACTTCTCATGCCAAATCAAAACAGAAATCTCTCCTCTTGGGATTACAGGCTCAGAATAGCAAATATAGTTTGCAACTAAACTGTCTCCCCCTGAAGATATCTGTGGAGATCAGGGGTATATTAAATTCAGCAACCAAGAGGTCTCCTCATGAACATAGGTTTTAATTAACTTCTTCCCTATTGACTATCTCCAGTGCATTAATATCTTCTCCCCTAAATATTCTGAGTCCTTTGACCTTAAAGTTAACAACTGTGGTATATTTGAATGTTATAGTTCCCACTTGAAAGATGGTGCTTGAATTTTTTTTTAATTAAAAAAATTTATTTTTAGAGAAGGGAAGGGAGGGAGGAAGAGGGGGAGAGAAACATCATTGTGTGGTTGCTTCTCACATGCCCCCTGCTGGGGACCTGGTCCGCAACCCAGGCACGTGCCCTAGACTGGGAATTGAACTGGCGACCCTTTGGTTCACAGGCTGGCACTCAATCCACTGAGCCACACCAGCCAGAGCAGTGTTTGAAGTTTTGAAGTGGCTGTTCTTTAAGAATTCTTGGTAGCCAATTGCCAATTTAGACATCAAAGGGAATACAAGTCCTTTTTGTAAAATATTAATATGCATAAGCATTTATAAAATCACTATGCACCTCTGAGAAATAAGTAGAGGTATTATTTATTTATGACATATTTACATACTTACAAAGTTGGTTTTACCCAATATATCATCTTGCATAGTACCTTAAAAATGAACACCATATTCAGGGAGTAAAAATCTACGTTTCTTAATAATTTATGCATAACCCAACACCTTTTAGAACATAGAAAGTCTGGCTTCACAGAATACAGATTCCTGTTAAGAATTTTTTTTCTAGCTGTAAATCCAACAACATATTAAAGTAATTTGGTTGACCCTGAGTATATTACTAATTTGCATAATTTTAATAGAGGTACATAATCGACATTCATCTGTACACTTATCTACTTAGACTTGCTATCATACTACCATTTTATCTATATTCATTCACCTCAATTTCTTACCTCATTGATCCTTGAGAGAGAGAGAGGAATGAAGAATGGGGAAGTAAAAACAGTAAGAGACTCGGAAGAGAAAACTAGTACTGCCGAAAGCTTTACCAACTTCAGAGATCTGTGGCACAGTGTAGGCCCAGGGTTACTGGACAGACGTAGTCACAGGAAAACCTTGCACTGAGCAATCTGGGTACCTCTGTCAACTGATGTTGGTGTTAAATCACTCTTCTTGCATTTCTTCCTGCTCTCTTTCTCACTACTTAATTGAAACAAAGACATGTACAAGCTTATAAAATTCAGTAAGTAGTTCCCTGGAGCTCTTTCCTAAGAAGCTTGAGGGAGAATAAAGCAAATAGCCTCCAGTCCAACTCTAAGAGATGCTAGTGTGGGAGCTGTAAAAGAATGAGCAGAAAAAAAAGAACCAGCTGGATTATGGGTAAAGGGAACCATGGTCTCAGATCGATGGGTCAGCATCTTAGGCCAAAAGACCAACATTAGCAGACCGCCTGGTTAACGTTGCTGTGGCATGTGAGAGATAAGGAATTACTTTTAGGATCTGTGAAATTTCCCAATAACAGAAGTGGAGGAGAAAAAACATTGTAACAAGTATACTTTCCTTTATCCATAACTGTAATTAGTGAGTCATCAGGCCATGACATGAAAAAATACTGTTAGAAAAGAGTAGTTTTTGAAAATAAAGGATAAACACAAATGATAAAGAAAGGCTTCCCTTACTTATGGAAAACGGAAAAAACACAGATGACCTGTTCCATAAACTTCAAATGAAGAGGGAGAAAAAAGCATTCTGTCCCTATAATGCCACAACAACTGGTTTTATCTTTTTCTCATTACTTTTAATGACACACAAGTCTGAATTTCACTGAATAATTATTGTAGTGCTTGAAAACTAATATATACTATAGTTGGAAAATTAATACTTATTCATCTCATCCCCGGGTAATAAAATAAAAACAGAGGAAAAACAAAACAAAGCAAACCTTACATGTAATGACAGTGCAGGATAAGAGCTTCAACACCCTTAGTAAGATTGTGCTAATTCTTTTAAATTGAAGGAACTGCATAGAAGAGTAAATAAAAATTAAATTACATTTTTATATGAAGATAAACTATCCTTGAAAAGTTATTTGAATTTGCATATATAGAGTTCAAAAGTGTTAAGACTATTTAATTTTGATTTATATAAATCCAAAAATGGTAAATATATTTGGGAAAAAAAGAAGCTTTCATTAAGTATCAACATAATGGACTAAATAAACCAAGTTGAATATAGAAGAGTTTCTTTGAAACTTCCATAAAAAGTAAAGGCAGAAGGCCCACAAAGTTAGAAAAGCAGTGTTTAAGGAAAACTTAGTAAGAAGTAATGTTAATTAAAATAAGAGACATATAATCCCATGAACAACAAAGTAATTTCCTTCCCTCTCAAAATTTTTTCTATTACAGTGGGAAAATATGAGTAGGAACAGAAATAATGGCTGTTGTTAGTTTAATAATCCAAATGCTTCCAATTTAAAAAATATTCAAATCATTTGTCATTTAGTTGTCAAATGATTTGACACAGCAATCAAAAAATAAAATGTATTACCCTAATGTTCAGAGTATAAATCTGTAATACCCCAAACTTATTTAAAAAAAAAAGAAAAATGTAGAATTATTTGGACTATGTGTGTTTATGATAACTAAAAAGGAAGTGATCAAATCTGTTATTTTTGCCCATGTTAAAAATACGCATAAAAAATGTGCACCATCTCCCTGGGAGTAGGAATTTTAGTGTAAATTGTTGAGCACACTGCTCAGCATCAGACCTGAGATCATGGGCACACAGAAAAACCCTCAAAGACTGAGAAGAGATTAATCTTGAATTAAAAGAAACAATGCTTTTAAAGAATATTCAATAAACATGTCCTTTAATTAACTGTTTTCTTAAAAAAAATCAAGTACATATCTTTAAATTAAATGTCTTAACACATGAATTTGCACCTTATAAATTTGGTATATCAAATTGGCCTACAAAAATATTTATACCGTGTATTTCTTTTGACAACTATACTCCATGAAACTATGATCATAAAAAGGATCTGTCTCATCTACTAACATAAACCCATGCCTTTCTAAAGGGAAAGTAAAACTGTAGCCTACAGTAAAATAACCAAAACTGCTGGATTATTGAAGGTATCCAATTTAAGAAAGTAAAATCTCTTCTTTACCACCAAGGTCAAAGTGAGGACATCTCAGCATCCTAGGTAAGTCTTCTCTCACACGGTCCTGGGTGGTAGGCGCTGTTTATACATGCCTGCTACTGCTTTGGCTGCACTGTAGATCATCTGTCGACGTGACATACCAGTGAAAGCCACGTGCCAATCAGTCCGGCTGACATTTACTAAACTCTTTTCCAGGACTTCTCCCACTGTCACCAAAAGGCCTGACCACTTTAGATGGTAGTCCTGGGGAGTCAGACTTTGAGCCTATGGAAAAGTGATATTACTATTATTTATAATATATTCAAAATATCATTGAAAATAGCTGTAAGTGACATTTCAAAGTCTCTCAGATCCCTTTTACTGTAACGACAAAGCCTGAGAAACAGAGATAATGCTGCCAACTGTATTAAGTTACAAGGATATGAAAGAATCAACACAATATTGCACACATTTAATTTGTTTAAAATGCCCACATTAAGCTCATTTTGTTGTTTAAATATAATCTGAGTCTTAAATCTATAATCTGGAGTCTTAAATGACTCCATCTAACAGAGCTTGGTGTCAGAACGCTTAAGTTCGCTTCTACATTCAGTGTCACTTCAGGTTCATAGGAGTAGGCTATAACGGAAACATTGTATCTTTTTACAGTCATGACACTTCTACCAGAAAGAGGGAAACTACACGCTAGGCTTCAACCCATTTGGAAAAGGTCAATTAATTTCTAGAGGAGTATCCCCAGAAACTTCATTTTCATGTGAGTAAGTTAATATCTATGAAATAATATCCAGTCCAGGATAGCATCACCCATCATTCATACCTGACCCAACCTCTATCTGCTCCCACTCAAACCTATTTCACCTACACAGGGTTAAGAGTTAAACCCACTGCTTGGTATCTAAGAATGATGTATTTTTGCTGTTTCAGGATATTAGGTCTAGTCCAAAGGGGTATATCTACATGTAGAAATGGGTTTTCTACATAGTGATTCCCAAATACATTCTGTATCATGATCACCTCAGATACTTTTTAATTTTAGAAAATTAGAGATTTTTTATGCCCTAGCTAAAATCACTGAATTGGAACTCTACAGCAGGTTCCAAGAGAAAGTGTACAATACTTATAGTTTCTGAGTAAATTTGTGCAAACAGCCTAGCAACTGGGGGGCCTGCTCTAAGTCCTCTCTTCCACAGTGCACACCACACTATCAGTATTTCACTGATACTGATAAGTATCAGTGAAAAGATACTGAGAAGAGAGGCAGTGGATGAATCACTAAGATCTTCAGAGACTTTATCACAACTGTGCTTCTCAAATGTGATATGCACATAAAGCACCCAATGATCTTGTGAAGCAGCAGACCCTGATGTAGGACCTCTGGGTTAGGGCCCAAGAATCTGCATTTTTAACAAGTTCCCAGGTGATACTTATGATGCTAAGTCTAGACTCACATTTTTGAGAAACAGGGTATCTGACACTATCAGAAAAAATTCTGCATAGATCAGTTTTAAATTGGGGGTGGGGGTTAATGTTTGTTTAATATGCAAAAATTGTATAAAAATTTGCCTAGCTTTTCATTAATATTACATGCTGATTTTAATCCCCTAATGGGCTGATTTCTATTCCCTTAAATAAAAAACTTCAACAAGGAAGCACAGAATTAAACTCTCAAGATGCATAAAAAAGAAACAGGGAGAACTGAACAGCAAGGATAAAAGCAAGGCATCTCAATATGCACACTTTGGTATCTTAATTTTGACCCCCCTAACAACAAAAACAATGACAACAGGGAAGAAAAGGCAAAGTAAAAAGCAATCGACATTCTGACACTCTTTGAATACACTCTTCAGTGTTAACCAATTAACAGTTTGTTGTGTATGTTTACAGGCCTTTTTCTATTCACTTACATACATTTTAAAGTACATATGTGTGTGTATGTATACATACTAGATGCAGTTTGTTTTTACTTACCAATATGTCCTAAGTTTTAATATTAGTATATATAGTTTTTACTTTTTCACTATATGCAAGGGGGGACCCAAAAAGCCCAGAATTTATTTATAAAAAATTGTGTATTTAATCTTACATGTTTAAACTTCAGTCACCTTCAAAGTACTCTCCATTTGATGCAATACACATATGAAGATATTTTTTCCACTGTTCAACAGTTTTTGAACTCAGATTTTGATGCCTTTTACTGCTTCTGCTGTTTTTTGTTCCACCTCTTGCACATTGGAAAAACATTTCCCTTGAGGACTTTTTTCATTCAGTGACACAAAAAGAAGTTGCTCAGGGTGAGATCAGGTGAACAGGGAGAGTGGAGCAAGGGAGTTATGCCATTTTTGGTCAAAAACTGCTCAACACTCAGCACAGTGTGGGCAGGTGCACTTGGAAATCACCCATCGTGAAATGGGCAAATGCGTTGAGTCTTCAAAAAAAAATTCGGAGGCCAAATGCAGCCTCTCACACCACCACCAGCTGGCAAACTGATACAGATGGGTTCCTAGAACACTCACTCAGCTGGAGAAGCTTGTACTACAAGGGGCCCACCCTCCATTAGATAATTCCAGGGTTTTTTGGGGTCCCCCCATACAGTTTTTCAGCTTTGTTCTTTGAGCATTATATTTATTTTTTTCTAATTCTTATTCCTAAAAATAAAATAAAATTGCCCTTTTGTAATGGTCAGACATCTAGCACAGGGGTCAGCAGACTTTTTCTGAAAAGGGCTATACAGTAAATATTTGAGGCTCTGTGGGGCAGACATTCTCTACTCTATCCGATTCTACTCGATAATACAAAAAGAGAAAAAAATATACAGATAAATGGGCAGAAGTGTGTTACAATAAAATTTCTTCACAAAAACAGGCAGGCATGCCATTTGGCTATGGGCCATTTTTTTGCTGACCCCTGATACTTGAGCAGTGGTAAAGAGTGGCAGTGACAGAAGCATCCCAACAAAGTTTCTACTGGTTTATCAATAGAAAGCCTTTTGCCACAATAGTGTATAAAATGGTCAGGGGGTGGAGAAGTGAAGTTTCCTGGGCTCCTTGATACAGGAGTGCCCTTAGTTGTGGTACCAAAGTCCAACGGTAAACCCTGATGAGTGCTAACTAAACTGAAGGAATGTAAATGGAATGGTTGATACAACTACAAAGGTGGAACACTGAAGGTGGAATATGTAAAGAAGGTGTGTCTCCTTTACCTGGATGTTTGCTAGAGAATACTTCCCCTACCTAGTACTATAAAACCAAACCCTGTTGATAAAGTCCTAATGGAGACTACAGTTAGAAACATGACAGTCAATGGAATTACTGTCTGGGGACCAGTAAGGCTGCCTCGGCCCACATGGTATAGGATGGAAGCTAGCATGCTGTAGAGACAAAAATCTCTTTGCCACAACCCCATGTGAAATGGAGGCTGGGGCTTATAGCAAAACCTGTGAATGCCCAGCAATGACTCCTGGGACTCTGGATGAGAGAATTTCCACTTGAGAGGCATTTACTACCTTGTTATCAGATATTAATTATTGACTGAAACTACTCTTGTAACTGAAGGACATAAGCAGACCTTGAAACCTAAAATATACCCATAATATCTAGGGATGACATTGAAGAAATGCTCCAGTGGGGATGGCAATGACCAAAAGAGTATGGAACGGTTTACACAGGATCATGCTGCCTAGGGAATGCAAGTTGGAGACACAAGCAGAGAGTCTCTTTACTTGTAGGACCAATTCTGGAGCCACCTGAGGAGCTCCTGGAATTGACTGCTGCATGAACAGTGCCCTATGAAACAGCTCTCAACTGAAAGAGCACCTTGGTTTATGAATGGCAGTTCCAAGGTGAATGGACAACATCCCATTTGGAAGGCCACCAATCCGACTTAAGGAAACAAATCAGCTGGGTGGGCTGAAGTACATGCTGTTTTCCTAGCAGTGATGAAAGAATCCAACAGTGGTAAAATCCACATTTCGGTTTTTACTGATTTATACGCAGTGACCGCTGGCTTGGCTGTATAATAAGGCAGGAGGGGAACAGGAACCTAGCCTATCAAAAGGATGTCAGTATGGACTTAGGGAAACACACTTACTAGACTCATATTGCTGCCTGCAATCCAGACCAGCACAGTGGCCAAACCTACCATCCTTCCAAAGGTAGAAAAGTCTGGGTATAAATGGAGAGAAGGGAAAATAGCTATGGGTAAAAGAATGAATAAATGGTTTATGCAATGAGGGAAATCTACTATTACACTAACAACTCAAAAAACTCAGTGCAAGAGATGACACTATCTTAAGAGATTATACAGGCATACCTTATTTTACTTTACTTCATTTTTTCCTTCACAGATACTGTTTTGCAAATTGAAGGTTAGTGGCAAGCCTGCTTGGTCAAGCAAGTCTATCAGCACCATTTTCCTAACAGGTTCAGATAACGGTTAACATTTTTAAATTAAGGTATGGGCATTGTTTTTTTAATAGATATAATGCTACTACTGCATACTTAGTAGACTTCACTATTGGGTAAATGTAACTTTTATATGTACTGGGAAACAAGCAAATAATTTGTGACTTGATGGAGATACTGCTTTATTGTGGTGGTCTGGGATCAAACCTGCAGTATCCATGAGGTATTCCTGTTCCAGAGGCCTGAAAGGGTGAAGCCACATATTACTGACACCACTTCTATTTCTGGAACCTGAACAGATTAAATAGAAGCCTAACAGATTAAATAGCAAACCTAAGTGGTCTCAGCCTGGGAGACATTTTCATGTAATATGGTGGACTAGACAATTACTAACAACTGAATGGGATTCTAGTAATGTGCCAGTATCTTCTGACCTTTATAACTGTTTCACTATAAACCACAGGTGGCAAACACAAGACCCATGGGCTGAATTTGGCCCTGCACCTTGTTTTATCTGGCCCAGTACCTTGTTTCTACCCGGTGGCAGCACCGAGCTCCTTGTCCCCAGTTAAGGAGTAGTTACATTTATACAGCCCTAAAATTACATTTGGCCCTTTGAAGACAACTGTGAGGCTGACGTGGGCCCCAGTGAAAATGAGTCTGACACCCCTCCAAAGGATCTGTGTTTGAAGACACATCCTGGTCTGCCTGGTGGATTCTAATATTGCAATTTATAATAAGAAATACATATTGGGTCTTCATCCCTATTTCTGGCAGGGATGCCAGAATAAAACTGTTGTAATTCCCTAAGTGATAAAAGCTATAAAGATGTCTCATGTTAGTAAGATGACTTTTGGAAAGCTTCACTAAGGTGATTAAGGTTGAATCATATGAAACTGCCAATATGTAACTGTTTTTGACTTAAAAGACAGCAATTTCAAATGGTTCAACCTAATACTTATTCCTGAATCACTTGTGGCAATTTATAATTTTCTAGGACATCAACCATTTTGTTTGAATTTTCTAATTTATTGGTATAACAGTATATATAATATTTGTTTATAATATTATAATCACCTTCATACTGAAGTGAGTTTAATGTGAACATCTATAAAAATGCTTGGCTGTACTTCTAAAAAGAAATTATGGTAAAAACTGTGGTATAAGTAAACAGTTCAATAAAACTTCAAAATTTCAAGCATGAATTCTTAGTTCCCATCTAAAGTGAAAAGCTGTAAGATCGCCACAAAGTGCTTTCAGGAATTCTAAGAACACATCAAATGTGTATGTGAGTGAATATGTGTATTTGCTTGGGAGAGAATCCAACAGCTTGATCAGAGCCTCAAATTCCCAAATAACTTTAAGAGAAAGTTCTGAGATGACATTTGGCAATGTACATGAGTACAGATGTGACAGAAATTTTATGAACGGAGAAGTACATTCCACTTTGTTCAAAAAAGAATTCAAGATACAGAAATATAAAATGAATCAACATCATTATACATTTATGCTTATAGTCTAGTAACTATGTGGACAGGTAAAGATATGTACCTTTCACTAAGGTTTCTACTTACTACCGAAGATGAACAAAATAAAAGTCAAGATAAGGGAATGAAGTAATAAGGGAAATATAATTTGAGATAAAGGGTTTGAAACTGAAGGAAAGGTGGGAAAAAAACCAGCAGAAGAGGTAGTCTTTTCCATCATGGTGTAAGGAACACAATCATAAAAACAAAAAAAAATGAGGAAAATAGTGATTAACCATGTAATAATGTATTGCCTTTCCAAAAACAGTTGGAAAACAGAAGTAGAGAGGTACTAAAACAGAAGAAGTTGGAAAGAAAAAGAAAAATGCCAAAAGGCTATTTCCAGTGGAAAAAAAATCTAATCACACTTATTTCAAAGATAGTATCAAAAGTTTCCCTAGAGCATAATGAAGAAAAAAAGGAGAAAACTAACCTGTTGCACAAATTCCAAAGGCACAGGTGTCGCTTGTGTAAATGTTTCTAGATGAATGCCGTGAACAGGATCTTCAACTATCACACAACCGATATCAAACCATCTAGAACACAATACGCATTTCAAGTTATGTGCTAAATAAAAGTTTTAATGTACAGACAAAATGAAAAACAACAAGCAATATCATCCAGATAAAAATATTAGCAGATTACAAAAAGAAAATATTTCAAAAAAGGAATTATTTTTCCATTCATTTTTAACAGAATCCACAAAAACAATATATAAAATTCCTCTCCTGGCTTAATTCCAATAGGAGAAAAAGAATGGGGAACAACACACCAAAAATACAGAAAGTTCCTTTTCTCACTGAGATGGAGAAAGAATGAGACTAGAGGACTCAAGTAATGCCCTGAACGTGTGTTCACTGCAATGCCAGCGACTACACTGTAGAGAACTCCAAGGTGCCCCTGGTTCTCTAAAATACCAGGCTGGCCAAAGAGTTCATTTAGGTTTTTTCATATGAGGCTCTAGCAGTGCTTAGTTGTCCCTAACTTCATTTGAAACAGTTTTGTTAGATGGTATTGTGATAGCTGTCACATCAGTGTGCATTAAAGAAAGAAAAACCTTATCAAAATTGGTGTATTTTGTACAGCCATTTTAATATTGAAGATGGAAAAAGATATACATTTCAGTGTATTATGCTTAATTATTTCAAGAAAAGTAAAATTCAACTGAAATGCAAAAAAAAAAAGATTTGTATAACGTATGGAGAAGGTGCTGTGACTGATCGAATGTGTCAAAAGTGATCTGTTGAGTTCCTTGGTACTGGCTGACATTTTGGTCAAACAATTCTTTGCCGTGGGGTTGTCCTATGCACTGGAAGATGTTTAGCAGCACCCTGGCCTCTACCCACTAGAAACCAACAGGGGGAGACAGCTCACATACTCAAAATATCCAGATCAATAAAGTTATTGGTGAAAATGAAAACTATGTCTTTTATTTCATGGAAAAACATAATAGACTTTCTGGCCAACCCAATACTGTCGTGCTCCTGAACCTGTCAACCTGGATATCATGTTCTCCTCAAGTCTAAAACTGCGATACCTGTCATGCCCACCAAAACTCTTCTGTTTCTTTCACTACTAGTGCGTTGGCTGAGGAAACTTTCGGTTCTCTTCCTTCTTACTTTCAACTTCACCTCACTTCCTACCCAGGGAGAAGGAAGAGAAGCAACCTTCACTAATGAAGTTCAAATAATGCAACAACATACAAATAGTTTGTCATTTGTAGTATTTTTAAAATGTCACCTGAGGAAATAGTCTATTACCATCTCTATCAGTATAGAGCCAACTAGAAAAATTATCAGTAAATTAAAAAATAAGCTCAGAGGAAATAAATCCTTCTTACTACATTTTCTGAACTGTTCACAATGAACCAGTCTCTGAAACTAGCTTCATGAAATCAAAAAACTTTTTCCATTTAAAAGATACTTGTAAATTGACTTAAGTGAAGTCAACTGTACCGCCACCAGCATTTTAACAAGAATCACAAAACTACCAGATGCCCTATCACCATTAATCATCAGGAAAATGTGAACCCAAAGCACATGACATACCACCTCACACCTGTTAGGATGGCTATTATCTAAAAGGCAAGAAATAACAACTGTTGGCAGGAAGAATGTGGAGAAAAGGGGCATTCCTTATGCACTGTTGGTAGGGATATAAATTGGTACAGACACTATGGAAAATAGTATGACAGTGCCTCAAAAAATTAAAACTAGAAATACCCTATCCAGCAACTCTACTTTTGGGCATTTACAAAACACTAACTAAAAGATAGCTGCACCCCCATGCAGCACTCTTTATAAGGGCCAAGACATGGAAGCAACCTAAGTGTCTACTGATGGATGAAGAACATTTTGTGCCTGGAATATTATTCAGCCATAAAAAAGGAGGAAATCTTGCCATTTATGATGATGTGTATGGACCCTGAAGGCATAATACTGAGGAAACTAAGACAGAGCAACACAAACATTGTATGATCTGACTTATATATGGAATCTAAAGAAATTTAAAAATGGAACTCAAGACACACATAGAACAGCCTGGTGATGGTTGGAGGTACATGAAGGGGGTGAAGGGGATCGAAAGGTATGAGCTTCCAGTTGTAACATAAGTGGTGGGAATGTAATGCACAGCACGGTGACTGTAGTTAATAATACTGTATACCAGAAAGTTGCTAAGAAAGATCTTAAGAGTTCTCATTACAAGAAAAATCTATAACTGAAAACAAAAGCGAGCCTCTTACTTGTCAGGTAGCAATTCTGCAATAAAGTTTTCCACTGACACAGCAATCTGTTTCTCATGGATCACTCCAGTTCGACGCAAGGTATCTATCCGCTCCTGGGCTCCCTGAATAGTAACAGTGCAAGTTAGAAACTGTTTCAAGTTATTCATTATTAAGTATACCAATTTATGGTTACACAGGCAATACATGCATATACTTACACAAATACATATATACTCATTATAAACATTCAAGCAATGCAGAAGACAAAAAGTGACAAAGTCCCAACGTGTTCCTCTCAGTATTAACAGTTTAGAGTGTACTTTCCAAATTATTGCATTATACATTATTGTTTTGGCTGATACTATGAAATGGATTATTTTTATTTTCTATGTTCTAAATAGCTGTTGCTAATATAAGGAAACTAGGTGTTTTTTAATTGTACATATTAACTATACCTATATTTATTAAATATAAACTATTTAACAATGGTCATAACTATGATTGGCTTTTCAATAAAATTATTTAGTACTGTTTTTCAGTTGTTTTTTTCCTTCGTGATTTTGCTATTTTAAAATGGCTCCCAAGTACAGGGCTGAAGTGCTGCCTAGTGTTGTTAAGCACAGAAGACCATGATGTATGTTATGGAGAGAGCATAAATGTCAGATAAGCCTCATTTGGGCATGAGTTATAGTGTTGTTAGCTGTGAGAATTTAATGTTAATGAATCAGATATATATACATTAAAGTGGATTTAAATAGAAGTAGACATAAAACAAAGTTATGCACTGACTAGCTGGCAAAAATGCTGTGACTAACTGGGGGGGTGGAAATGGGAGGGAGGAGGGGAGGGCTGGGGGGTGGGCTGGGATGGGAGTAAAAGACAGAAAACTGTACTTGAACAACAATTAAATTAAAAAGAATTTTTAAAAAATGCTGTGACTAGAGGCTCACTGGAACCTAACCATGAAAAAATCCTTAACTTTAAAGCATTTAACTTTAATATAATAGTAGCATTAATAAAAAAACTTACAGGATTCGAGAGTTATTATAGCTTTAGTAATTGATCTGAATGTTAACACTGGGTCAAGAATATTTCTTTTAGGACTAACTACTTACTTTATTTTTGTGTTGTCTGCATGTGTTTCTTCCCCTCCCCCAACAGTCAAACCCACTGTAGGTTTCTTTAAATTAAAACTCCACTATATCTTCATGATATTAGTTATCTAATTAAAACGAAGGTGACCATCTCATTATGTAAAACCAGTTGGCTCTATACAGACCACAGAATTACTGCCAGAATTATGAAGAAATTAACTGCCAGTTTCTGTGCCCCGAAGGTCTTCAATTACTCACTTTCAACCCAGCTGCATAGCCCACTGGTTGTGGGGCAATGTTCGGCTGAACGGCTTCCCCCATGACCACAGCTAAGCCGAAGACCTCCTGGAAGGCGTCCCGCACAGCAGCAACTTTGACTTCTTTATTTGAGGTCACAACAATATCCAGTTCACCTCCAGACTCTACAAAGACCAGAAGAAAATTTCAAAATTCCAAGTTAATGAAATTCTCATAATCACTACCATAAACTAACATTTTATTTGCATAATTATGACTAAGCTCACAGAATGATTAAGATAAAGGCATCTTATTCCAGTAAGAGCTTAGTCAAGAAGTATGCAATTTTCTTTAGTTTTAAAAATAAGAATTTAAGCCCTGGCTGGCGTAGCTCAGTGGATTGAGTGAGGGCTGCAAACCAAAGCATCGCAGGTTTGATTCCCAGTCAGGGCACATGCCTGGGTTGCAGGCCATGGCCCCCAGCAACTGCACATTGATGTTTCTCTCTCTCTTTCTCCCTCCCTTCCCTCTCTAAAAAATAAATAAATAAAATCTTAAAAAAATTAAGAATTTAATGCATTATCTGAGGGAGTCTATTTGCAAGCAGAAGATGGCACACACCTTCTAACATTTCTGATTACTACATATCTGCCTCAAATATGGCACCACAATGTTCTGTATCCTATGAAATACTGTTCCAGAGTATGGTAGTAGCTCTCCCTGCAAACAGTGTGCTGTGGTCAAACAAGCTTGGGAGATGGTGCCCACCATATTTCTGTCTTGGAAATTTACAATGCAAATTAGCATAAAGATTCTGAGAAATCCAACAATTAAAAATCATGACTTTAACCCAGTACTTTCCATATTTCTTCTGTTTACAGAACACATTTTTAGCCTCTAATAACAGCTCCTAATATTGATATAAAAAATTGGCCACTCTGAAAACAGTTTTTCTATAATAGTATTCTATTAATTCAGACCAAGTTTCATTTTCTGATTAGTATAAATTTTAGATAGACAAATTTCTTGCATTTTTAAGGTTGTAAATCAAAATGGTGTTTCTGCTGCTAATTAATAAAGACAGGTATCTGTCATACACAAAATGCTAACACCATAGTGATGCCAGTCCTTCAGCAATCATAGGAATTAAGTGTTCTCACTTGTGAAATACAATTTACACATTTGGGATACTCTGACTCTATTTACAGAGAATGGACATGACTGACTGATACGATGATTTGTCAAAGAATAGCACAGAAGTTCTGTGCTACTCGAGGACTACCGTGAAATGTGCTTTTTATCTAGGAGATAGTTTAAAATGTGGGAGTTAAACTTTTTATATTTTACATCCCCATCACTGAAAGAAAAGGGCATATATCACAAATAAGTGGGTATTTATAAATGACATATCCCATTAGTGTCCTAACACAAATATGCAAGCATATATTAAAAAATGAAATACCAACTTTCATAAAACTTGAAATTTAAAAAGACTAAGAGCAATATGAAATTAAAATATTTTAAACATTTTAATATTTCAATTAATTGCTTAAAAACTGGTATAAAACAGTAATTTGATCAAATATGCTTAATTATTTTTAGAAACTTGACCTAATATTGTTTGTATTATAAAACATGTTGCCCCAAAGCAATGCTTTGTTTTTCCCTAATATCTTGTGGAACAATTGTAAATATTTCCCAAGTATCTGGGTTTTCTATTATGGATACCTTTTATTCCTGATTGACATAGTGTTCCACAGATCCCATCTTTACCAGAATTTCAGAAGTTACTAAAACTAATTAGCTCACATAGAAGAGGAAAAGTACACTGTTCTCGTTTTTTCCTTCCATGTGGGCCATCTTCCTTGACCCTTGCTGAGTACTAACTACTCCACTAAAATTTTGCTTAGTGCTGCCTTTCACAACAAAAGGAGCATTAAAAGAATACAGAAAGTTAAACTGTGTTAAAACCCATTTCTAATAGCTCATGTGCCATTTTGATACATTTAAAAGTAGTAAGTCATTTCTAGAATATTTGATTAAAAATACCATGTTTCCCTTTGAGTTTTATAAGAATGATCTTGCTGCCTGTCAAGAATATGTCAGCTTTTCCATACTCATTATTACCCTTTAAAGCTGACTGACTAGGATTTATGTTGCGATATTATCTAATGATAAAAACCTCACTTTGACCTGGATGGCATAGCTCAGTGGACTGAGTGAGGGCTGCAAACCAAAGTGTCATAGGTTCGATTCCCAGTCAGGGCACATGCCTGGGTTGCAGGCCACGACCCCCAGCAACTACACATTGATGTTTCTCTCTCTCTCTTTCTCCCTCCCTTCCCTTTCTAAAAATAAATAAATAAAATCTTTTAAAAAAAATCAAAACTCTATTTCAGGAAAACAAAAAACACCTCACTTTGTATCTCTCCTCCCCTACCCCCTCTCCTTGGTATTTCTCCCACTTCTTGATGTCATGCAGACTATGAGCTGCATGACATGAGAAACAGTCTTGGATTTGAGTCCTAACTGCCATTTTCTAGCATTGTTATCTTGGGGAAGTCACTGAGATTGTTTCATAGAAAAATTCCTATCCCTTCACAGGGCTTGCTCTAAGAATAAATAATTGCTTTCACAGTCTAATATAGTACCCATTAAAATAGTAAGAGCTCCCAAAATACTTCCTGTCATTCAAAATAGGAGCTGTGGAAAATATACATAATGCATCATTGTCAAACTTGATTATTATGAATATATATAAAATTGATATACTAATAGGGCCTGATTTCTAAATCCTTTAGCAGTTACAAACACCAAGAATAATTCAGCTGATTTAATTCCTGATTCAATTTTCTACTTCAAAGGAAGCAAAGTGGTTAGGTGTAAAAAAAAGGAACATGAGTTCAATCTAGTCCCACCAACCTGTGTGACGCAGGATAACTGAAATCTCTCTGAACCCAAGTTTCTCATCTAAAACTTGAGGAAAACAATACCTACCTTGCAGAGCTCTTGTGAGAATCAGTGCCAGAGCCAAGCATTTAATAAAGGGTACCTGTCATTGTTAGATCTTGTCCCTTGACATTTACTAGATAGTAAAGTGTTATCAAGACTCATTAAGGCTACTGACTTTTTATTGCCACTGAAAATCTGTATTCAGGTACCTGGTACACAGCTTTGGCTTATAAATTATCTTCAACAGAATTACTAATAATTGGTCACTGCTACTGCTACACTATTATATTTTTTCACATACTGGATATATACATTAGAAATTAAAGGGCAAACAGCATGTCTATGTCAACTTTCTGAAGGATTCTTAGTGATGAGGATTCAAAAGTGGTTAAAACAGCTTTTAAAACAAACCTAATCAGATAGTGTTAATCAATAGACTAACTTCCCCTAAAAATATTACAACTAAGTTAAGAATAACCAGACTTATTTAAAACAGATAACTGGAGAAATGTTGAAACCAAATATGAACAAAGCATTACTTCAAACATCAATGACGAATAAAGTAAAAGTCATACAGAGCAACGCTAACCACGTTTACAATTAAAATCGGTAAGGATGTATACTAATAGTTCATATTGTTTTTTACTCCTCCAAAGTTTATTCTGAGTTTTCAAAGTGCATTTAATGGTGACTAAGAAAAAGATGAATTAAAAAATACCAAGACTAAGACTTCATAATCAACCTAATATAAGAATATAAGAGGATTTCCAGTGATCAGTGGAATTACAATTGGTGGCTAACACTGGCACACTTTAAAAAAATATGGCAGATGCTGGTCTATGTTTAGTACATACTGATGTATGGAGCCATGCCAGGGTCCAGCGTTGTAATCACACTTTCTACGGAATGTTTTGTTTTATCAAGCACAGATTTCACCACAGGATTGCCGGCTACACCCTGCATAAAACAAATTAACATATAAATACCCATTCTAAGCAAACAACCTGATAATGAAAGACATTATGTTTTTAGGTTTCCAATGCATCAAGACTGGCACTTTTGTAAAACATAAGAAAAACAAAGTGATGGCAATGTGAAATTCCTATGAAGTTTCAAAATGCTTATCCATCACAGACCCACAACGGTATGCAGAACACACTTTGAGCAGCACTGTTCTGGGAGGTATGCATATTGCATATACACATATATGTGCATGTATATTTATTTATTTCATTTTATGTAATTATTGCATTTCACTTCTATTTATATAAAAGACTAGGCAAAACTCATCCAGCAGGGTACCAAATAAAGACTGTAATGGGATGGCTCCATAGACCCATACTTTGTTCTCTAATAAAAAAATGAGGAGTGAAAACATTTCTCATATCTATCCCCCAAAACAAGTACCTATTACTTTCATGTAAAATATTCCATGTCCTACCAAAGCTTCTTTTTCCTAGTTCCTGATTGTTTTGTTCATATGCAAATTCTCCCTTTTAAGACAGACCTATTCCTCTGGATTTTTTTTTCAATTAGAGTTAATATTCAACATATTAGTTTCCAGTGCACAGCACAGCAATGAGACATTTATATAACTTACAAAGTGATCCCCCAGCTGGCCTTGCACCCACAGGATGTAAAACCACACTATGAGACAGAAGGAGCGGGCCTGTGCTCTACTTCTCCCACGGCTCCACATACCAAAGGAAGAATGACTCCAAGAGGACAAGTGGCTTACAGCCAGGATTCCACCTCTTCCCACCTACCATTAAGCTCAGGTGATTTCAGAAAAAAGATTGTTAATACTGACAATTAGGACTGTCGACCAACCTTTCGGGGTTGAAGAGTTATTCACAGACCTCTGGAGTTGAACTGGGTGTTTCAAATGACATGACACAATAACACACTTTTAACAAGGAAAGGAAGTGACAGTCCCAATATAAAGAAAGCTTTTAAAATGTACAGAGGGATATTAAAAAACAGCTTAGAAAAATGCCATCTCCAAAACATGAAAAATGCAGTAAATCAGTTAACCACCTACTGACCGAAAAATGTTTAATATACAATTAAATTGCTGCCAAACCATCAGCAGAACGTTGGGGGGTGGTCACCTGACAAAGCAATTCCAAAATTCTTCAAGAAATCAATGGAAAAAAATAGTAAAGGAAAATTTTAAAGAAAAGAAAAAATGATCAAACTTGAACAACCAAATGCTGATGTGTTTTTATGAATGTGGAAGCTTGGAACTGACCCAGCTTACCCATCAATGAATACTCCCCTAACCCCACATGAGCAAAGTAGACTATCAATAATTAATATCATAATTACAATACTTAAAGTAGTGTGGTACTATTGCAAGGACAGGTGGAGCAGTGGAATAGAATACAGAGCCCAGAAACTGACATTAACCCACCATTCAGTAACTAAGATAAAGGTGACATATCAAATCACTGGGATATTATGTTGGAACAGTCAATTAGTGGCTGAAAGAAAATTAAAATTGACTTCTATCTCATATAATAAAATATCAGCTACATTAAACTAATAAATGTAAAAATAATAAAAGAATTAGAAGAAATTCATATCAAACAAAACAATCATATATTGTGGAAACAAAAAAATCATATATTGTGGAAAAAGGTTATTTTTATCATGAAAAAATTGAAAGTAGGCTGATAAAAATGAGTCCTGAAAATTTAGAATCTTTTCTTATAACAGAGAAAACTGCAACATATAATAGCATATAATAAAATATTCTTACTACACAGCTCATATAAATCCATTAAGAAAATCATCCCAATTCAACACTGAGCAAACAACATGAGAGACTTCATAAAACTGCATCAGGGTACGTATGGAAAACAACCAATCAATGTTTCTCTTTCACATCAATGTTTTTCTCATTCCCTTTCTCCCTTACTCTCTCTCTAAAATCAAGAAATATATCCTCAACTGAGGATTTAAAAAAAATCTATAAATGGCAAATAAATCATGTGAAAAAATGTTCAAATTCAGTAACAAAAAATGCAAATAAAAATCAGGTATTACTTTTGCGTATCAAATTAGAAAATATTGTACTTCAAGTTTATTAATCAGTGCTAGCAAAGTAAAAAATGCCGTGACAGTGTATTTTGGTATAACCTTCCTAGACAGCTTATATGTATCAGTAATTTTTTAAATGTTCTCTGACATTCGTCAAAACTTAATCCTGATAAAACAGAGATGAACACAAAGATCTGCATATAAGAATGCTCATCATAGTTTTATTGATAAGAATCACAATTAGAAAATGTCAAAGCACATTAGTGAAATAAAATATGGGAAATAAATGCTATGGTATATAGGGCAAAACAGCCAGAAAGGAGAACGTCTCTGAAGATATTTTATAGCTACGAAGATATTCCGGACATATGCTAGGTAAAGACAAAAACACAAAATAGTATGGGTCCAAATGTTACTACCCCAATTTGATTATTATTTAAAAAGAGATACATCTACATATATATGCACATACAAAAAGGTTGAGAGGAACTACAAAAACTAGTAAAAAGAATAGATTTTCTTCCTTACACCCTTTTATTTTCAAAGTTTTCTTTAATAAACATCTATTAGTTTCATAATTTAAAAATTAAGTGTATTTTTTTTCCCTGGCTGATGAAGCTCAGTGGATTGAGGGTGGCCCCATGAACCAAGGGTCATTGGTTCGATTCCCAGTCAGGGCACACGCCTGGGTTGTGGGCCAGGTCCCCAGTAGGGGGCATGTGAGAGGCAACCACACGTTGATGTTTCTTTCTCTCTTTCCCTCTCCCTAAAAATAAATAAAATTAAAAAATTAAGCAAGGTTTTTTAAAGCATATTTTAATTATACTATTACAATTGTCCCATGTTTTTCTCCCCTTCATCCTCTTCTGCCCTACATCTGCCCACTTCCAGCATTCCCCACCTCTCTTAGTTCATGTTCATGGTTCATACATATAAGTTCTTTGGCTTTCCATTTCCTTTACGATTCTCAACCTTTATCTGTCTATTCTGTACATACTAATTATGCTTCTTATTCCCTGTACCTTTTCCCTTATTTTCCCCTCTCCCCCTCTCTACTGATAACGCTCCATGTGATCTCCATTTCTGTGATTCTGTTCCTGTTCTGGTTGTTTCCTTAGTTTGTTTTTGTTTTTGGAGGATTCAGTTGTTGATAGTTATGAGTTCATTATCATTTTACTGTTCATAGTTTTGATCTTCTATTTCTTAGATTTAATCCCTTTACCATTTCATATAATAAGGGCTTGGAGATGATAAACTCCTTTAACTTGACCTTATCTGAGAAGCACTTTATCTGCCCTTCCATTCTAAATTATAGCTTTGCTGGATAGAGTCATCTTGGATGTAGATCCTTGCCTTTCATGACTTGGAATACTTCTTTCTAGCCCCTTCTTGCCTGTAAGGTTTCTTTTGAGAAATTGATTGATAGTCTTATGGGAACTCCTTTGTAGGTAACTCTCTCCCTTTGTCTTGCTGCTTTTAAGATTCTCTCCTTATCTTTAATCTCAGGTAATTTAATTATGATGTGCCTTGGTATGTTCCTCCTTGGGTCCAACTTCTTTGGGACTCTTGGAGTTTCCTGGACTTGCATGTCTACTTCCTTGCCAAATTGGGGAAGTTTTCCTTCATTATTTTTTCCAAGGTTTTCAATTTATTGCTCTTCCTCTTCTCCTTCTGGCAACCCCGTGATTTGGATGTTGGAATGTTTAAAGTTGTCCCAGAGGTTCCTCAGCTTCTCCTCATTTTTTTTTTGAATTTTTGTTTTTTCATTCTGTTCCAGTTGAATGTTTATTTCTTCCTTCTGCTCCACATAGTTGATCTAAGTTCCGGTTTCCTTCCCTTTACCATTGGTTCCCTGTATATTTTTCTTTATTTCACTTTGCATAGCTTTCACTTCCTCCTCTATTTTGCATCTGTACTCAACCATTTTTGTGAGCATCCTAATTACCAGTGTTTTGAACTCTGCATCTGATAGGCTGGCTATCATCTCGTCACTTAGCTCTTTTTCTGGAGTTTTGATCTGTTCTTTCACTTGGGCTATATTTCTTTGTCTTGGTGCACCTGTTATGCTGTAAGCGTCAAAGCCTTAGGTGTTCACTAATGCAGGGCAACCCACTTGGCTCCAATGTGGTGCTGTATTATCAGGGAGGGGTCAGAGAGGGAACAATGCCACTTGCTTGGCTCTCACCCTGCTTTCAGTCACTTCCTTCACTACCCACAAGCAAATTAGGCCCTTCTGGTGCTGATACCCAGGTGGGTGGGTTTGTGCACCTTCTAGGACCCCATGGGTCCCTCCAACAGACTCTCCTGTGAGAATGGGAGTTTCTCCCACTGCCACAACCCCCATAAGTTTTTACAGCCAGAGGTTGTGAGGCTTTAGTTTTCCAAGCTGGGTCCCAGGGTTGTGCAGTCTGTCTCACCCCCCAGTTGTTCCTCCTGGTTTATCCACAGGCAAATGTGGGACTGCCCAGTCTACCAGCTGCTGCCTTGCCACGTGTCCTCTCCACCCCAGCTGTCTGTCTCTGCTCCTCCTAACACTCTAAATGAATGTTTCTCCTTTAACTCCTTGGTTGTCAGACTTCCATACAGTTCAATTTTCTGGCAGTTCTAATTGTTTTGTGTTTTTAAATTGCTTGTTGTCTTTTTAGTTGTGCTGGAAAGCAAAGTGTATCTACCTATACCTCTGTCTTGGCTGAGAGCTAAAAATTAAGCATGGTTTTTAAAGCAAATGCAGCTTACCTTAATAAAACCCCAGAGTCCACCAGCAGATGCTTCATCCTGACCTCTCACAATTCTAGGATCTTCTTGTTCCTCTGGAAATGTAATGGCGGATGTGGTTCCAGCTCCCTGGGCTAGAGATGTCAGACTGGCTTGCTGAGTAATAGGGGCTGGCAAAATACCTAGTTAATGACAAAAATATTTAATTATATAATTTATTCCACAAACTATTTCCTATAAAAAGATACATAAAAGGTGGTTTAAAACAGCTGAAATAATGTAACTCAAAGAATCTCTTATAACTATTTTATAAAATACAAATAAGACAAAACTCCAAAAGAAAATTTTTTTGTTTCATAGGCTTACACCAATTGTCTTGAAAATGGACAAAAAAAAAAAACACTCAGAAAGTACTTTATGTTTTCTCTATTTAGTACCTTGCTGTGACAGCTATAATTCTAATGTCTTTAATGCATAAAAATAATTGATGTGAGCACCCTAGCCCATCATATAAAAGCATATAACAGTAAGTACACATACTCTATATACCCTATTTTAACTTAAAAAAACTTACATATACATAAACATGGGTATAAAACTTGTACTCTGTCAAAAATTTTTATTTGTAAAGGTAGATACACAAAGTTGGACAATAAAAATTACAACAAAGTTGCTTCCTTTTCTCCAATGAGAAACAATAGGCAGAAAATGACTCAGATGAAGCTTTGATAATGGTTTCCAACAACCACTCCAGAGAGGCCAACTGTATAATAGCTACAACTAACCTAGAAAAGGAAATGGCCCAATGCCACCAACTTAAAGCAACACATGAGCTTTTATATGGTTTTGAATTTTTACCTGGCTAAATAAAACCACTCCTTGGGCTATTCAGTCCTGATAATTTTTTTAAGTGAAGCTTTAAAAGAAACTTTAAAATTTCACCTTGATGTTTCTTTATAAATGCACAAAGCATTAGGACAAAATTTGGAATTTTGTTTGACATAATGTTTACAACATATAAAAATCACATACTAGCTTACATCAGCTTTATTTTAATAATTAAAATGGCAAAAACATGAGAACTGAAAACTCAAGAAGTCAAAGAAATGAGTTAAAAATGCTAATGCAGAGAGACTGGAACTTTATATACTGCTGATAAAAAAGCTGCTTTGGAAAATAGTCTGTGGGTTTTTCAAGTAAGCAATTCCATGGCTACACAAGATAAATAAAAATATGTCCACCCAAAAACTTGTATGCAAATGTTCAGAAAAGCATTGTTTATAGTAGCCAAGAACTGGAAATAATTCACTGATGCACTGAATAAACAAAATGTGGTACACCCATTCAATGGAGTATTATCCAGCCACAAAAAGGAATGAAGTACTAATGATGTATGCTACATAAGATTCCATTTACGTGAAATGTCCAAAATAGGCAAATTCATAGAGACAGAAAGGAGACTAGTGTTTGCTTAGGACTGTGAGGACTGAGGAGAAAGTTGAGAGTACTGCTAGTAAGTTAAGCAGTTTCTTTGGGGGTTGCAGGTTTGGTCCCCAGTCAGGGTGCACATGATCAATGTTTCTCTCTCACATCAATATTTTTCTCCCCTTCTTTCTCCCTCCCTTGCTTCTCTCTAATAAGTACATACATACATACTTAAAAAAGAATTTAAAAAGATTCTGAAATTGTGGTGTAAACTCTGTAAATATATCAATAAATAATGAAATGTACACTTCAAATGTGAGAATCATGGTATGTAAATTATACCTTGATAGAGCTGTAACTTAAAAAATATTAGCTATAGCCATTTATTTCAAAGTATCAGTACAAGAGAATTACCTGTTACTGGAGGTGCAGAAAATGACGGCATCAAGGGTGTCTGGGGAGCCCTTCCTGCATGTCCCCTTGTAATGTCATATGCTGAGCCAACAGAAAATCCTGATGTAGGAGGACCCGGAGGGGGCGCAGATGGAGGAGTACTCGGGGCAGAAGTTGAAGTTGGGAAGTGGGATAAAGGAGGATTACTGAAGGCAGCAGCAGTTGGTGGAGGAACGGGAGGTGTTACAGCAGTAACAAGTGGTGGAGAAGGAACTGAGGAAGGAGGCACAAAAGGCAACGATGCTGAAGGCCCCACAGGAGGAACGGATGGCTGAGGGGTGGAGTATGCGAGTGGTGGCAAGGACTGCATAGAAGGTACATTTGGAGAAGAAAAAGAACTGGTTGTAGCTAGAAAAATCAGGGGCAGAAAAAAAAAACACAAAATTAGAAACACTTTTCACCTAAGTTTTCAAAGTATCTCATTACTTTCTTCTTGCAACATTGTTAAAAAAATAACAGACCATATCCCAAGAATTATTTTGAAAATGTATAACTTAACATATATAACAAATGACTTCTAGTTCCATAAGTAAAGGAAGCAGCTATATAAAATTAACTTATGGTATTGTTCATAAGTAGATCTCTGTGTTTTTGTTTGTTCCGATGTTTTAACAAAATAAAGCTGCTATGAGCATAAAAACCTATATACTGAAGGCTCAAAAACTTTTTCAGAAGGGTAATGACCACAAAGTCACAGAACATGAGACAAAACTTTTTAGAACATTTTTGTCATAAGAAAGATGATTTATAGTCAATATGAATAAAAAGAACAAAAGTCTACCTTTATAAAGCAAAACATACATGTTTTCTGTCTTTGGGCTTAAATAAAAAAGGCTGTCTCCCTTCATCTTGGCAAAGATCAGAGAAGTTTTAATATATGCATTCTTTTGTTATTTGAGTGAGAAAAAAATAACAGTCTTTTTACTATACTCAAAATACACTACTAGGGGTGTCCAACCTTTTAGTGTCTCTGGGCTACACTGGAAGAAAAAGAGTTGTCTTGGAGCACACATTAAATACACTGCAACACGTAATCACAAAAAAGTCTCAAAATGTTGTAAGTAAATTTACAATTTCATGTTGGGCAGAATTCACAGCCACCTGGGCTGTATGCGGCCTGTGGGCTGCGGGCTGGACACCCCTGCTAGATGCTAGACAACTCCATTTACCTAAAGGAGCAGGGGTGGAAGACATGGCAGCAGCAGCAGCAGCCAGTCCAGCAGGGTTTGGTGGAGGCGTCCCAGGTGGTGTTGTTTCTATTCCACTCTCTTCCATCATTTTTCTTCAATTATGATAGACTATAAAAATATTAAAATGCAGTATTACACCTTAGTCAAAAGCATATTTTTAAAGCTTGTATAGTTAAAAAATAATTTTATAATCATTAAGAGACATGTCTTTATGTTTGTTTTTTTAAACTTTTTTTTTTTAAGACTTTTTATTTTGTTTAGAGAGAGGGGGAGGGAGAAACAGAGGGAGAGAAACATCAATGTGTGGTTGCCTCTTACACGCCCCCTACTGGGGACCTGGCCCGCACTCAGGCATGTGCCCTGACTGAGAATCAAACCTGTGACTCTCTGGTTCACAGTCCGGTGCTCAATCCACTGAGCCACACCAGTCAGGGTATGTTTATAATGCCACTTATTTCCAGATGAAAGGTCTGTCAAAATTCCTGAAAAAAGAAGTCAGTGAGGCCCTGACTGTGGCTCAGTGGGTTGGGTGTCACTCTGTGAACCAAAAGGTCTCCAGTTGTTTCCAGTCAGAGTACATGCCTGGGCTGCAGGCCAGGTCCCCAGTTGGTGGCGTGTGACAGGCGACAGATCAATGTTTATCACACGCATCAATGTTTCTCTCCTTCTCCCTCCCTTCCCTTCTCTCTAAAAACAAGTAAATAAATCTTGGAAAAAAGTTAGTGAGAATGTCAAATATGCAGAAAACCTGTGATATTTTCATAAACATACTTATTATTGGGAAATAATTTTATGCTAATAGTATAATAAATCATTATGATTTTTATGTTAACTATATAATTAATTGTCCAATATATTTCAAATAGTAAATTACTGATTTCTGCCACATGAATGAATATTAGATTTATATCTAGGTTCCAGTCGCTATTAAAAATAAAAATATTGAAGTATTTTTTAAACGCTTCCTCTCTTCCCATAAAGCATTGTATGTGGACTACTCCTTTAATGTAAACATTAAAAATAATAATAAAATGTGATTAATTTTCTGCTTTCTTCACATTCTAAAGCATCCCAATAATGGGTAAATGATATGTCCCAGCTTTTAGAAATGTTAACAATAGCAAAAATGCCACTAGACACCAGGTGGGGTCTTAACAGATGATTATGATTACAAAATATGGGAAAATTCCCTTAAAAATTACAGATTTTCAAGCCTGTCACCAGAATAAACTCAGAACTTCTAAATACACCAAAGTTGTTTTTTGATGTTTTTATTCATTTAACATTTGGTGAAGCCAACTGTTTGCCAAGTACTGCTGCCACCTCTGGAAACACAATGAAGGCAAAACCAGGATACTTACAGACTAGCCCAGGAGGTAATCAAAGAGCAATGCCAGCGTGCAACAAATGTAGCCAAATGATGTGCTGAGAGCAGGAACAGTTCTGTTTGACAGGAATATGATTTGGACTTGAAGGTTAGGAAAGGGTCCCCTCCCCAAGGATCTGAAGAGTGTATAGAATTTAGTTAGGCAAGGGAAAGGAGATAAGGGGGGGCAAATTTCAAAAACAGTGAATGTACAGGACAGATAAAGGCCCTAATAAGGTAGCAGGAACAAGATACATTCAAGAAAACCCATTTAGCACAGGTCAGAAAAGAAATGAGGACTGGAACACAGCAGGAGCCCAGGCCATGTTGAGCCTTACAGACCAGGTTTTTTAAGGACGGAAAGTCTCCGTGGGGCATTTAAGCTGGGAGTGACATTTCTTGTCTTTTATTTTAACTTTTTGAAGAAATTTTACATTTGCAAGAAGGTTGAAAAAATAGAACAAAGTTCATGACTACCTTTAATCCAGCTTCTCCCAATATTAGCATCTTACAATAAATATAGTACAATGATCAAAGCTAGGAAATTAACATTGGTATAACACTGGTAACTGTAGACCTTATTTGGATTTTACCTGTTTTTATGTTTGTGCACATGTGAGTGTGTGTGTGTGTGTGTGTGTGTTTGTGTGTAGTTCTATGAAGTTGCATTGTATGCATCGACTCATGTAACCACCCTTGCAATCAGGACACAGAACTGTTCTATCACCCCCAAGGAACTCCTGAAGCTGCTCCTCTGCCCCACCCTTCCACCAACTATAAGCCCTGGCAACCAAATGTTTTCTAACATTTTCTCATTTCATGAATGTTACATAAATAGAATCACACACAGCATATAGCTTTTTGAGATTGGCTTTTCTGACTCAGCATAATTACCATATTTTACCATGTATAATGCACACATTTTTGCTCAAAATTTTGAGGGAAAAATAAGGATGTGCATTATACACACATAGTACTAACTCTGTATCTATATAAATGATTTTAATGCTTTTACTCATGCTCATGCGTTCAAAGTGTAACTCTAGAAAACACTAATGATACCTGTATGCAAAATAATACCCTGGAATACAATAATTGGTTTTGTTTCTAAATATTAATAAATCAAAAAATTGAATTAAAAAATTAGAATGAAAGATTTTTTTCCTGAAAGTCTGGGCCAAAAACATGGGTGTGTGTGATACATGGGAACATGTTATATGTGGCAAAATATGGTACCTTCAAATCCATCACGTTGTTGGATGTATCAATAGTTCGTTCTTTTTTAATGCTGAATAGTACTCCATTTTATACTAATTTTATCCACTTATCTGTTAAAAAACATTTAGGCTGAGTCTAGCTTTTGACAATTCATATTTGTGCTGAAAGATTATTTTGATGACAATATGCAGATTGGACCATAGGACAGTCAGAGTAAATGCAGAGACCATTAAGAAGGATATAGAAGTAGTTCAAATAGGAAGTAATAATACCCTAAACTTCTAGGGAGGTGGGGAAGAGGGTGCTTCTGCCCTTCCCTACCCCAAGGGAAAAATTATCAGTAATGCCAAGGGTGAAAAACTGGCCTACACCAGCAATTTACAACTTCTTCCATCTCACAGCACACATAAACTAATTGCTAACATTCTGCAGCACACCAAAAAGTTTATTTTTTGCCCATCTGACAAAAAATAGGTATAATTTTGATTCATTCACACCAGTTGGCTATTTTTGTGTTGGCTGTTGTCACTTTTTTATTTGACAATCTAAGGGAAAAGAGGTCAGTGCTCCTGACTAAATAGTCAGGTACTGAATGTTTTAAAAATTAGTGCAGCACACTAGTTGAAAATTGCTGGCCTAGATTATGGAGGTGATGGTGGAGATGAAGAAGAGTGGATTCAAGAGATGTTCAGGCACCAGGACTCTAGCAGACTGGATGGAGCAATGATGGGGAGATGTCTGACTGGCACAACCGGATAGAGATGGTGGTGTCATTCACTTAGGGAACACTGAAAAGGTCAAGGTATTAGTCTGATATCGTTGGAGTCCAAGTTATACAGTGTTTATATTGGGCATGCTGAATATAAGCCCCTTGAAACATCCAAGGAAAGACAATGACTTGGTTTGCAGCCTAGAAACCACATTAAGTGTGGGTTCCCTCAGTTTACTCAATAGAGTGAGAAGAAAAGATGACCCAACCAATCCCTGAAGAGTAGCCAGGTAGAAGACAAGCTACAGAGAAAAAGAGATGACCAGAAAGATAAGAAAAAAAACAGGAAGACTGTGGTGTCCAAAAGTCAGAGTGTTCCGAGGTAGAAGTAGGCAACCATAACAAAATCTGCAGAGATACCAAAGAGGATGGTATCTGAAAAATTCAGTGGATTTGTTTAACTGGAGATGAACGTAGTGAGAGCTGGAGTGGGGGCAGAAGTCACTCTGAATTGGACTGAGGAGTGAGAGGTGAGGCAAATATGCACAATGCTTTCCCAAAGCCACCTCTGCAGCTTCCCACTTTTCTGTTAGTCATTCATTTCCTACTATAGATGCTACCAAATTCTTACAGTGGCTAGAGGAAATCATATTTAAAGATGACCCTCATTCCCAAGAGTAACAAATGTGTTGGCAAAAGAACTTTGCACAATGAATACAACCCATAATATGGAATAATTTGTTCATTTATTTCAGCCTTTAAAAGCTTTACTACTTGAGAACTGGCTTAATGACATGATTGGGTAATTTTGTATATGTAAATGCACTACCTTCAACTAAAGAAAAGCTACAATGATAAAACAACAGTGAAATGTCAGAGTGGGTAAAAGTTTTAGTGCTCAAGTCTGGACACAAAAAGTAGTATGTATAAATGTTACACAGTATACGTACACAAGAAAAGAAATCGACCGGAGGGGAGAGAAGAGGGAATTTAAGGGGACCGTGGGAAGGGTTCACAGGAACAAACTTAAAGGACACATGGTCATAGACTAAGGGGAGGGTGGTAATGGGAGGGAAGTGGGCAGGGTGGGAGGAGGGACTGGATTGGGAGTAAAAAGGAGAAAACTGTATTTGAACAATGATTAAAATTTTAAAAAGCCATAAAAAAGAAAAGAAATTGAATAACGGAGCTTTAACAACCGTAAAAGCAATTATTGTTGATGTACTAGAGCAGAGTACAAAAGCCCCCTAGAACGGTGTTAGGCACTGACCCGAGAACCTACAGGAAAATAAGCTACTTCCCACTGCCGCTCTGGTCTGTTGACCGAGCCAGAGCGGGAGAGGCCTCCCCCCAGGCTCTGCCACGTCTCCAGGCCAGGCTGGGCTGGGCTAAGGTCAGCGGGCGCTAGCCACTGGTCTCGAACACCAGCCAGCGCCCTCAAGGAGGGGCCAAACAGCCAGCGGTGCCTGGACAAGAGTAAAGTACTGGAACAAGACCCCCGAAACGTACCCACAGCACTAGCAGTGGCTTGCCTTACAAAGGGCACCGGAGCCTGGGCTGCGTCCTCCCACAGCCGCGCAGGGAATGAACGACTGCTTGAGTCTCAGTAAGGACCCTCGACTACCAAGGGGCCTGCCGGCCCGCCCACCTTGCGGGGACTGCGCCCCTTGGCGCCCACACCCCGTACCGGCACTGCGGCCCCCACCCGCTTGCACCCGCGTTGCTCCCAAGCTGACGCTCACCTGTGAACTCAAGAGAATACCCTGTGACAGCTGAAAAGTGGGAGACACGGAGGTACAGGTGTTAAAGACTACGGCTCAGAGGAGACTAGGAAGATGCACACCGAACCTCCCGGTGCACGTCCCCGCCTCCAAGATGGCCACCTGGCGCGCATGCTCCTGCGGCTGCCACGTCGGCGGGTACCGCCCCGCCCAACGCCACGCCCCGTCCCTTCGGGAACCCCGCCCCCAGGCCGCGGGTTAAATCTGAGTACCTGCGCCCGAAGGTCCTGCTGCGCAGCCTTGACGCTGCCTTTCTCCAGAAGCGTTCCCCAGCAGAACTGCCCTCCTTTCCCCTCCACAACCCCAACACGCAAGAATGACACCCTTATTATTAGGAGTAGTAGCTCAGTTATCCTGTGCCTTGGCCACCCTCAGGGATGCAGGTGAGCCAGCCAAGGTCATCTAGTCAGACCCCACCTACCGGAAGGACCTCGCTCCAGAAACTGGGACTTACCCTGCATATTTTCAAAGATTTCCAGATAACATCGGTTGCATCAGGAGAGACCGTGGGGTGGGTACAAAGTAGTAGCTACTGCACCGATTTTTCCCCCAGTAGTACATGTATTACACTTTTAAAAAAAATGAAAAACCGAAGACAAAGAATATCAACTTTCTTCACTTCATTATGTTCCACTCAAAACAGTGCCAGAAACAGTCTGTACTCAGTAATATAGTACATTAAGTGAATCAATGAATAGCATGCAATGGAGAAAAATAAGAAATCTGAAGTTAGAAGACCTGGTTTGGGCCTGGGACTACCCTAATGCCAGCTGTGCAGTAGAGTGATCTCACATAGGCCGCTTAATCTCCATATTCCCATTTATAAGATGATAATATTATCCACCATCTCTTACTCAGGCAGGTAAGAATCAAAATAAGCCATATGAAAGTACTGTTTAAACTGCTGAGTACTAAATGCATGAAAAATCATTTTTGTTGTTCCCAAATCCCTTCAGGAACTCATTCTTAGATTTAGCATTAATTTACATCTTGGACTTGACAGTTTTAAACATTCTAAAATACCTCATGGAAAAGTTAATACTATTTAACTATGCTCTGACTTCAGATCTCACGTTGAAACTACAGTGGGCTGTTCCCTTTGGTGGTGACACTTATTCTATCCACTGAGAATGTATGTAGGTGGCTATCTGGGTTACTCTCCAGAAAGTGCTGTTTGGGGTGGTGCAGAAAATAGTTATCATCTCTATCCTCTTTGGTTAACACCCTTAATAGCTCAAAGGTCTGTTGGTTTCTTCATTCATTCACCAAATGTTTACTAGTGGCTGCAGTGTGCTGAGCATTGGTACCAGAAATGTAGCAATGAACAAGACAGACAAGGTCCTAACACATAGGGAGGTTTCATTCTCATAATAGAGAGAGGCTATGAACAGGAAAATAAACAAAGCAAGTACTGTTTGTTATGAGCACTTTGAAGGAAATTGTTTGGGTGATGTGATGTACACTAATTGGGGTAGACCACTTCGCATAAGATGAATGTGAGGTACTTCTCTGAGGAGGTGGGATCTGAGAACAGACCTGCAAGGAAGCAGATCTGAGGATATCCGGATAGGAAGCAAAGCACTCAAAAGCTCTGAGGGAGGGTGCTTGACACATTTGCAAAACAGTAAGGAAACTGGGACTGAGAAAGTGGTAAGAAATCACCTCAGAGAAATAGCAGAGCCAGATCATATCCAAGCTTGTGGTCTGTGATGAGGTCTTTAGGTTATATTCTAAGAGAAATGAGAAGCAGGTGGAAGATTTGAGCTGAGGACTGACAAGATTTTACTTCAATTTCAAATTACACTCAGATTGCTATATAACTTTAAGGAGTGCAAAGACTAAAGCAGGATGGCCAGGAATGAGAAAATGGTGGTTCTGAGTAGCTAACAGGACAGGAGGAGGTGGTGAATGGTCTTGGACACATTTTGAAGGTTGAGCTGTCATGACTTACTGATGGATTGGATGTGGACTCTATTAGTTTCCTAACACTGCCTAAGCAAATACCATGCTAGATGGCTAAAAACAACAGAAATGTATTCTGTCACAGTTGTAGGGGACAGAAGTCCAAAATCAAGGGTTTGGAGGGCCTCAATGAAAGCTCTAGAGAGAATCCTTTGCCAATTCCAGCTTCTGGTAAAGCCCAATGTTCCTTGGCTTGTGCCACCATAACTCTAATTGCTGCCTCTGTCTTCACATGACCATCTCCTCTGCATCTCTGTGTCTCATGTCTCCCTCTGCCTTTCTCTTATAAGAATACCTGTCATTGCATTTAGGGCCAATCCAAAATCCAGAATGATCTCATCTCAAGATCCTTGAGGAGATAGACCCCATTTCCAAATAAGGGCACATGTACAAATTCTAGGTGGATATATCTTTTTTTTTTGCGGGGCGGGGGGGAGGGTGGAGAACTATACCACCAAATGGGCCATGAGAGAAAGGAATCAACTAAATAAAAAGATGGTTTTTGATGTTGTTAACCTTGAATTCCACTTATAATATTTTGTTTTATTCATCACTTCTTATTTAAATTTCAGAAGAATTCTATGTGGCAGGTATTATTACTACTCCAATACTAAGAGTTATTATTCCTAAGGAAACTAAAGCTCTGAAAATTCTCTGTAAACCTGGAACTGGAACTCAACATTATTTAGCTGCACCCCAACTTCTTGCCTGCTTTTGGGGTGGTAAGGTAAGAGAATGTGGTAGATGGAGGGCAATGAAGGACATCAATGGAAAAATTACAGCTTAATGACAGAACAAAGATGGCTTCATGGTTTTATTTAGTTGTCTCTTTTTGTTGTTGCTAACAGAACACTTGAAGTTATGCCTTCAGGAAGTTTCTGATATATAATAGAGTTCATTTTGAGCTGTAATGTGAGATACACTGTAATGGTTGAATTTTCCTGTTACTGCACACAGGCGAACAAAACTATTTTCCACTTCAGTTGAAGGTTTTTTTCTAGCTCAATTCAGAGTTAATAGATCTGTCCTTAAATATCCCTAAAACAGTTCTCAAAGTCTGAAATATTTATGTTAATAGTGAAATGTATATTTTCAGGTGGAGAGAAGCAAGGCTGAGACTGAGCATCTGCAGTATAACCAGGAATAGAGGCAAAGCCTCTGGTTTGAGAGATGACGGCTCTGCTAAAAGAACAGTCAGTGAGTTATACAGCCACAAAGGACACTTCAGCAGATGTGTCAAGGGTGTGGGCCAATACAGAAATCAGGCCCATCCCTACACCCAACCCATGCAAAGAAGATAGTTAATTCAGCAACTAGGAAGGAGGTGGAGGGTTGCCCCCACACATTGCATGGGACGTACTTGTACTAAAAACTTACTCGTTGTCTATCTGGAATTCCAATTTAGGAGCCAACAAGCCAGTGACTTAGAGTCTAAAAGGCAATGTATGGCTAAATGATTGGGAAAGAGATATTGGTACCAGACAACCTGGATTTCAATCGTGGCTTTAGTACCTGCTAAGTCTGCAGCTCGCCTTGGGCTTGACTTTTAAACTCACTGTGTTTTGATTTCTTCACTTATAAAATGAGAGCTTATATTAATATGTACCTCACAGTTTTTTATTTGAGGATTAAATGATTTAATATGTGTGAAGTGCTTGCAATGGTACCTCACATAGTAATTGGCATGTGTTAGCTCTTGTTCTTTGACTTTTAAGTTATCTAAATATTCATCTGGCAATAACTGATATAAACCAAAAAGATTTTTATTGAGTCAGTCTGAATTCTAATTTCTGAATGAAGATTTTATTTGCTGTTTTTAAAACAACTGAAGAAAATTTAGTTTAAGTATAAATGAGTGACTCTACCACTTAATTTGCATAGGACACTCCCAATTTAGGGATGCTGTCCCAGCATAATTATTAAGTGTACCCACCATTTATTCTCAAAAGTGTTCCAGTTTGGGCAATAACTCTTAAGGTCATCTTAGTTACAGAGATATTAACAAGTTATTCTTTTTGCACATGTGAACTACAGGGGGGAAATGTCAGTACCTGTGCCTACCTGCACGCACATAACCCTTATTACCAGAGTCCATTTCACTTTGCTTTAAAGTCACCAGTGAACTATCTTTCTAAAATATTTATTTATAAAAACATTCAATGACTCCTCATTGCTTACACTGTAAAATCTTAAAAACTCAATTTACTCTTACTTTCTAGACTCTTCTCCTCTTCCTGCATTTTCCTCCACATTCAGCTGTAAGGATGAAGCCATGTGCTTGGTCCCTTTCCTTCTCTGCTGGTAGGTGCTCCTCATTTCTCAAGGACCAGATCAAAGTTTTCTTTCATCACGAAACCTTTCACATTGCATTTCTGTTGACTGTACATATCTATAGTCTGTATTTGTTTATGAGCTCCTTGATAGTAATACTTTGTTTTCTGAATCCTGATACATTCAAATTTTTGCATATGATTACTCTGAGAATATTTTTAAATTGATTTTAATTTCCTAAAATTCATGTGTAGTACATACATCACAAAAAGTTCTCAAAATCATCCTTTTCCCTGCTACATATGATTTTACTAAAAATAATCTTGTCAAAGATAGAACAAATATGTTTCTTTTGGAAAATTTGAAATTTTACTTTGAATAAGGAACCATGCAACTAAAATTAGTTCCGAGGCCAAGGAAATACTGTTAATATGCAATAAAACATTATAAAGGATTCTAAATTTTTTCTAAGCTTTTGTATTTTTATAAAGTTAAAATCTGCATGACTTCAACTAATAGCTCTCAATGCATCATAAATCCTAAATAGTTATGCCTGTGGTAGTGTTTCTTAAGCTTTTGAATTCACAGAATAGTACATGTTTCCCCTTCAGATTTTACATCATAGTTTAGAAAAGAAAAGGAAACAGCCCTGGCTGGCGTAGCTCAGTGGATTGAGCGCGGGCTGGGAACCAAAGTGTCCCAGGTTCAATTCCCAGCCAGGGTACATTCCTGGTTGCAGGCCATAACCCCCAGCAACCGCACATTGATGTTTCTCTCTCTCTTTCTCTCTCTCTCTCTCCCCCTCCCTTCCCTCTCTAGAAATAAATAAATAAAATCTTTAAAAAAAAAAGAAAGAAAAG